AGACAGTTCCCCTGTAAAACGATAACCAATAAAAAACAACGATAAGGCTTAAAATAGGATAGGAAGAGTGGCCATGGGGTTTTCACACAAGCCCATTTGTTATGGCTTTATGAGGACTATATATAGGGATTAAGGGTACCAAACTATAACAAAATAGGTTCAAATTTACACCAGTAGCGTGAGAAGGGCCGCCACATCCCCCAGACTGGACAGCTGTGCCTTTAGCGCCTCGGAGGGGCCTCCCTCTGCAGCAGGGATGTCCATGTTTGCGGGCGGCTGAAGGCTATTAGTATGATTAAAAATACTACCATTTCTATTGTTACTACTATTATTGCTATTAAGTACCCCCCCCCAATAATATTACGACCATTATTACCATTGATTAATACTAGAATTGCCATTTTTACTATATCCTCGAAGTGTTCAATGATTGCTGCAACTGCCCATCAGGGACATCCTGCTACTGATATGCGCATAATGTCAACGAACACGCTCCAGCCCTTGGGAAGCCAAAACTCTCAGTAGAGCATATGCCGCACTCTTGGGAAAAAAACTGCACCCAATATAACCCCTATATAATCCCTACATAACCCATTATAATAGCTTGCAATTTCTTTTCCATTGTCCTAGTATAACCCCAATATTGTAGCCCAATAGAAATGTCATACCTATCTGGTCCTTGCACAGCACTTCAGGGATGCTGGGAATCCAAGCGGTGATCTGGGAGTTTCCCGAAACAAAGGTACCCCAACGGATCTCTCATTGTATTAGGGTAGTTTTGAGTACACTCGCGGTGCTGCCTCGTTGGCGGCGGCGCAATCCGTGAGATCGACCCAAGAAAAGCGTAGGACGGTCACAGCCAAATCCTTGAGTGGGAAGCAAGATTCCACAAGAGGGTGCTTGAACAAATATGACCGGTGTGGGCGCAGTACTCCTCTCACGGAGGTGCATTGCAGCATCAACACCAATAAGATGCGCGAGTGCCCAACTTCGAATGCTGATTACGCACCCGGGGATACGCGGACCAGCGTGTACGAATCCAGCACAATTTCTTAGCACATGCTCGAAGTCCAGCCCGCATCTGATATAACCTCAACGCTCGCACCTACACCAAAAAGAGCTTTAAGATGCTTTAAGCCTATCACCAGCTGCCCTGCATACCTTTCACCACTGCTGCCTGCAATCCCTACGTGCCCCGCTCCCAGGGGCTCCCAGCATCCGCTTTGGCGCCACGTCTTGTGGCAGGAATCTCCTGCCAAAGACCGGAGGCATGAGCGCAATTGGTGTGTGTGTGTGTATGTATGTGTAGATAATACATACATGAGGATGATAACAAAAAAAACGTAATCAGGTTTAAGA